TCGCCTACGTCCTGAAAGGACATGGCACATAAAAATTAAAATAATGAGGAAGGAGGGTCTGGAGAATCTGATACTCACGGGTCGAATGGGAAAATTTTTGGCATATAATTATGGCTACATCTATCCCAACTATAAATCTCGACACCAGTTAGTACTGTGCTTGAATTCAAAAAGTCTAGGTACCAAAACGAAGAGCTCGTCTGAACAATTATCATGAAAGTATTTATATAAAAGTCACATAGAGAAAATCTGATATGGCAGCAATATTCTAAGCATGGACGAATGGTAAAATTATAGATATGTAAGATAGATTCTGGAAAGAAGAATATTGCTGATTCTTCTTTGAATCTTATCAAGGATCTCAAGGTAAATAGCAAGGGAACCGGACCATATATGGCAGCAATATTCTAAGCATGGACGAATGGTAGACTTATAGATATGTAAGATAGATTCTGGAGAGAAGAATATTGCTGATTCTGTTTTGAATCTTATCAAGAAGCTCAAGGTAAATAGCAAGGGAACCGGACCATATGAGGCAGCAATATTCTAAGCATGGACGAATGGTAGACTTATATATATGTACGATAGATTCTGGAGAGAAAAAGGGTCTCGCACAACACTGTGAACCAAGTTTCTTAGCCGATAACAAGGCAATGGATTAAATATAGTTTTTCCACTTCATGTCAGCTGAGAACGTTAGCCCGAGAAGGCCCAACGAGTCAATTTCCTGGAGCTTATCATCAGCCATGTTAATGCTAACCTTTATTTCCATTTATATTTCCATTTAATCTATATTTCCATTTAAGTATTTAATTAGTTAAAAATTCAGGGCGCTATCCCTCCTGCTAGAGTAACCTCACCCTTATTGAGCATATCTTCAGAGATGTAGTGCTAACCACCACGTTTGGTGAAATGTGGATTTGTCAAGTTATTTAACCCATAGTTGGAGGCTTTGTATTCAAAATTGCCCTTCTCCTAGACGAGTTGCTACGTCTGGCGATAGGGTCTAATCTATCCTGATAATTACCCATAGCTGGGAAGGGGAAGAAGTGATAGATTTTATAGCTTCCCTAAAGGGATATGTACGTAAGTGAATATCACGAATTAGGCTCTGATTCCTCAATCCCCTTTATTAAACTTAAGATAAAATATTTAGAACTACATGAATTAGAGACGTCAAAATCAAGCATGAATATTAGTGGCTTTATCACCTTGCGTGTAGGAAAATGATTAGAGCAAGTTGGAAAGGGTTATAAGAGACGACATTTCGGAGAGACGTGATTAAGGGTTTAACATCGGTCGAAAGAAAACACAGATTATGAGACAGGTTGTGGACGCCACCCCTCGACATCAGAACATTTAATCACGATTTGGAAGTTGTCGCTGACTTTGTGCACCGGGGTTCGACAATGTTGGTCTCCGGCTTGCTTTCAAAATTGCGCTAAACGAGCGTATTGGTGAAGCAACTACGACCATGTTAAGGTAGAAAAAAAGAAACTATGAAACAAGAGAAAGCTGGCAGAACGCGCCAAAGACCTGATCTACACAGAAAGAACCCACCTGTACGGCATTGAAACTTGAACACCGCGTGCTGGACAGCAATGTGAGCGCAAAGCCTTCCACATGCGCTTACCCCGACGGATCATTAACAGTTCGTGTTAAAACAAAGTCCTCAAAACAATACAATCATAAAGAGAACTGGTATGCCTACAAGGTACACGTTATATCCAAGACAGTTTTGCTATTTCAGCCAAGTTGTGCGAATGAAACACACTCGAAAACACAAGCTTTTTGGGGCGTAGAGCTGGCAGAGAGAAAGACACACTAGCTCAGTCACGCCGTTCGAATGGAGCACGGTCAAAAAACACATGAACTTTCTGTGCAGAGGGCTAGCTCAGGGAAAGACACTTGCACTAACTCAGTCACGTCGTGTGAATGGAACACGGTTGGAAACACAGTGACTCCCCGAGTTGAGGGATGGATAAGGGAAAGACAGTTACACTGTCTCAGTCACATCGTGTGAATGGAACACGATTGGAAACACAGTGCTTTCCTGGGTTGAGGGCTGGTTGAGGGAAAGACCATTGCACTAGCTCTGTCACGCCGTACTAATGAAGCACGGTGGAAAATACGGGGACTTACTCTACTGAAGGCTGGATAAAAAAATGACACCATGGCAGAATCCTCTTACGCTACAAATATGGCATAAAAGACCTGGTAAAAACAGTAACAAACCAAACATGTGGGAAGCTGTCTTTGAACGATCATCCTGAAAGCAGATAGTGTAAATAGTTCGAAGTGACATTTACCCAATATTTATTTGCCTGTTTTATGTGAAGCTCTCAATTAGTGGAACTAAAGAATGGAGCTTATCTGAACATTTGTCATGGAAATAGCGATAGAATGGCGACAAACTTGCAACTCCTTGAGAGTGGAAAATGGTTTTAAACGACATCGTAAAAGATTTGGAACTCTCAAGACAGAAAGTGATGGTTGAATTGCTGAGGCCGAGATATGACAACAATACTGAGACACAGTAGACGTTCAAAGAGTAGAGCCTCATTTAGTTTAAAACTGATCATCGTGACTTGAGAAAACACACGTTCAAATCGGTGGTGATGAAATGATACTAGTTTTCCGTTCCTTTGAGCTGTTAGACCTAAGACTGTGGATGAGAGTTGGCTCAAACGTTCATATCAAGATACTCCCATGGAATGTGACTAAACGAGGTTTATTTTTCAATCTAGTCCCTGTTGCGGTTCATACACTTCTTCCATCGGAGCTGAAGTGAATTGTTGAAGAAGGTTGGTCAAAACTGATCAACCAAGTTATTTTTTTCAAACAGATGATAGTCAGAGGGGACCACATCAGTTGAATAGGGTGGTGATCAACCATTTCAAAGCCACAGTCAAGCACAGCAGCCATTGAAATCAAGGAATTGTGTGCTGGAGCATTGTTCTAAGACCTTGATTGTCTTTCATAACTGACTCAGCGAGTTGGCGTAGTATTCTCCATTGATGGAATAGACATTCTGAAGAGTTTGACCATGATGGTGCTGTCGATTTCCAAGCGAAGTCGCTACTAGTTACTTTGGAAGTCTTCTTTAACAATCTGAAAAAGGTTTACCAGGAAAGAAACAACGCAGGTATTAATAAGAAGAGTTGAAATTAATGCATGCAAGGTTTCACAGCTCTAGCATCGCTCCTTTATAGTCAGCCTATGAACATTTCAGCCCATCTTCGCACCGGGAAAGAAACGATGTCGTCATTAATAAGAAGAGATGAAATTAATGCATGGAAGATTTCACAGTTCTAGCATCACTCCTTCATAGTCAGCCTATGAAGTTTTCAAGACACCTACATAGAGGTTAGCTGTAAGTGGTTTGTCGTCTTGATTTATAGAAGTGCACACCGGAAATAAGAAAAAACTGGATAGTCTTGGTATTTTCTCGGAGAATGGGTACTGGAATTTTCTCAGTTCGGCATAGAAGTAATTGCAAAAAGAAATTTTATATTTGGTCGTTTTTTTCAGATTTGGGGCGAAATCAGTCGTACTGACAATTTTACCGTCCACCATTGTATAAAAATTCCTACATAGGAATCCATCGATTAATGCGTCTTCCATTAATGCGTTTTCGATTAGTGTGCTAAAATTTTTATATACCAAAATTCGATGAGTGCGTACATAATACTCGATTAGTGCAGAAAAATATCTTTCAGTTTAACAATATTAACTGAAAATTGATTTTTTATAGTTCTCGATTAATGAAAAATTTTCTAAAAGTTAAAAATGGAAAATGAATAACTATTTTGTTTGTCAAATATTACGTTATCTAAGTAATCTAGTGTTAAAAAATGGATGTCTGTAAATAGGTACTTTTAGATTTTATAATATAGATCGATAATAAAAAATATATATTGGAATATTTGTCTCTATTAAAATGTAAATATTTTGATATTTTTTTCATGTTTATTTTGAAGGTCTTAAAAAGAAATTTCTGATTTTTTGATAAAAAAAAATGAACGATTTAATTAGATACAGAAATTTACTTTTTAATACCGAAATAAAAAAAAAATCTATGCATTTACTATGGAAAGATTCTAAATAAAATTTACAGGTTAAAATGCTAATGATTATGATATATTTGGGATTTTTTTCAAAATATTTTGAGTCCAAATTTAATTGCATATTATAAATAAGTGCTAATTGTTCTCGAATAATTACGATATCTTTTTTTAAAAGCGTTTTACCCCAAGCAAGGCGGGAAGCCACTAGAAAGCAAGGGGTTACAGAAGATTTGGAGCAAGATCAGATAGGAGTGATAGAAGAAAGGATGAGGAGAAGGATAGTGGATAGATCAAGGCAACTGGAGATGTCGATTGACAATACATTTGAATAGCTGGAGATTATAGCTCTCAGGGAAACTGGAATAGGGAAGGGAGTTCCACAGGCGAGAGGTGCGAGACATTAAGCTATTGGAGTAGAAGAGACGGCTACATTTAGGAGTTTCGTCAGTGAAAGGGTGAGAGCGGGGTGCCAGCCTCGTAGGGCGCTTGAATTCATGAAGTCTGGGAACCAGCGAATGCAGCACCTCGGAGCAATTGCCATGAAAGTATTTGTAAAACAGACAGAGAGAGACGACGGTGCGTCTGTGAGAAAGTGTCTGTAGACGAGATGCCAGAACAGGGCCAACTATATTGCATATCCGCCTCTGGAGCCTATCAATAACCCCGAGGCAAACAGAAGGGGCTCCAGACCATATATGGCAGCAATACTCCATGAAAGGGCGAATTGTTGATTTGTAGATCTGGAGGATCGATTTCGGAGAGAAAAATTTCCTGGCGCGGCACAGGGAGCCAACTTTCCTTGCGGTGGACGAAGCAAAAAATGATAAGAGCCTATAAAAGTGATTTATTCTAAAGTTATGATATCGTGAAATGCTAAGACATCTGATGACTCACATTTTGTTTACGCCTAAATGTAACCCTATCTCTTTTCAGGGTGAAAAGAACACGGATATGACTGTTAATACGGTAAGCCAGTTTTTACTTATATTTTTGTATTTACTTATATGTTTGGTATATATTTCTTTCTTTTTTCACAAGAGAAAATACCTTTGTAGCATAAAAGGCAAATGTCCGAATATAACGACTACAAAAATCGTAATAACATTAAATTTCGATAGAATTATTCATAAAATATGACACATTTGTTTAGAAAATAATTTTTCACGTTTTACAGACATGGGATTTGTTAATTAAAATTATATGCCATCTCAGCACACACACACACACACACACACACACACACACACACACACACACACACACAAAACACTTGAGGAATCAGAGAGCCGAGTTCGAATTCCAGTCGAATCCATTACAATCATTTACGTGCTAATAACCTTGGGAAAGGTATGAATCCTCTTCTTCTCCCCCACCCCAAGCTGTGAGTAAATATCAGGATAGACCGGGTACTATAGCCTTGGATAGCAACTGGACTACCACAGAAACAAATAGAAACCTACAGCGGGGAAAAATCTGCCTCGTCAGTCATATATCGAAAGATACATGATCGCCTAAGCGTGTATCACGCATGGCACATAACTATTTCAATCTATTCATCTCTCTCTTTATATATATATATATATATATATATATATATATATATATATTATTGTTGAAGCTTAAATAAGCATGGAATAATACAACACAAAATGTACGTTAACAAAATGTATTGAAACAAAGAATAGGTACACAATATTTACAGTTAGTTTGGTATATTCTTGGGAAGACTGTTCCTGCATAATGGGTTGACTAAATCGCAGTCGGGCAGAGTCTCTGGATTCAATTTCTTAATCTCTACTATCTTCCCCGTCTTCCGGTACCAACCCATATTTATATGGTCGGTAGTCCGCTTATGTAAATTAGGTGTATCATACACAACATATATATATATATATATATGTGTGTGTGTGTGTCTGTTCATATCTATCAACGTATCTGTATGTTCATATCTATCTATGCATTTCTCTTTGTTCATATCTATCTCCAGACTAATTCCAGTCGAATCCATAACATTCACATACGTGCTATTAACCTTAGGAAAAGTATGAATCCTCATCTTCTCCTCCCATCTATGGGCAAATATCAGGACAAACAGGATTCTATAGCCCTGGATGGCAACTGGTCTAACTCAGAAAGAAATGGCAACCAACTGCGGGAAAAAATCTACCTCGTCAGTCATGTATCGAAAGACACATGATTGCCTAAGCGTATATCACGCATGGCACATAACTGACTAAATTGCACAGCATTCACTGCCATATAGTAGGTTTTCTAACACAGAGCAGATCAGTACAGTTTCTTTCTAACATAATTCACAAAACTGCTAACAGTTTGTTTAACATTTGGCAGTAATATCGGATAAAAAATAGAAAATTGAACAAATATTAAATTTAGTTTGTACAGAGCAGACAATTCTTGCTTAAATTCAAATCCTATAATACAAAACCTTGTCTGTCCTCCTATAATATATCCAACTAAATTCGTATGACAAGAACACTCTTTTAAATTACTCAAAAGATCTTTTTGCAACCTTGTATGTATATCTATCTATCTATCTATCTCAGAGTATCTATCTATCTATCTATCTATCTATCTATCTATCTCAGAGTATCTATCTATCTATCTATCTATCTATCTATCTATCTATCTCAGAGTATCTATCTATCTATCTATCTATCTATCTATCTATCTATCTATCTATCTATCTCTCAGAGTATCTATCTATCTGTCTATCTCAGAGTATCTATCTATCTATCTATCTATCTATCTATCTATCTATCTATCTATCTATCTATCTCAGAGTATCTATCTATCTATCTATCGCAGACACTTCATCTATCTATCTATCTATCTATCTATCTATCTATCTATCTATCTATCTATCTATCTATCTATCTGTTTCAACCTTTCCCTGTTTATGGGTTCAGCGGATTTAATTGGCCGTTTGTAGATACAAACAGTGTGGACATAAAAGTCAACACTACATGTTGACTAGCAGTTTCAGGTCTAACCAATCATGAGGCTCTTGAAATCTTAATCCACCATGCAAAACTGATTTTGAAACTCTTAATAAGAATAGGTACAGATTAGCTAGATTTGTGAAATCTCACAATATAAACTCCAATATATAAAATATGTGTAATTGGTCACACGTCTATTGGCCAATCCCTATTGCTCAGGCGAATTTTGTTTTTATTCAACATCCACAGAGGCCACCTTTTGTTTTATACTGCACTATGTAGAACAAACGTTAGTTACAGTTTCCGGGAAAGAGCATGTAATCCAGCGTGATCAACAATTTGAACAAGGCCTGCATGCTCGGGCACGATGACTTGTGACTCTGTACTAACAAAACTATCGATTGGTTGCGTCTTCCCAGCTTCACTCGTAAGGCTTGGGCCAACCCGTAGTATGGTCTTCAGGCTCCTTTCAAAGGATATAAAATCCAGTAACATCAAGTAGTCGCCTTCGAACTCGGGTCTCATAGTCAGAATCAGAACGTTCTAAGCACTCGGCCATATACAATATATATATTCCAATAATCTATCAAAACAAGATCTTTAATATTGTCTTTGTGAAAAAGAGCGTCAATCCGTTGCTAGGTGTAGTAAGCATTGCAGATTAAACAAATTTTAGAACTCATGTACATGCTTAACTAAAATTTAGCATTTCATGTTTAAAAATACTTTATATTAAGTTTTAATTTTGTAAACTGTTTTGGATATAAGTTTAAATAAAAAACATACCAAAGTATTGCATTCAATAGAAAAAATAGAATAAAAATTATTGAAGCTCTCTACATCGGACTAAAAGAACTATGCCTTGATAAAAATTATCCATTGCATCTATCTATCTATCTATCTATATATATATATATATATTATATATATATATATAAATTACCTTAAAATTATCTTAAAATAATTGTCGGACTTTGTCCATTTCATAATGTGTGACGTCATTTGTTTACATTTGGATACGCTATGAGCAGATATGAATGTACGTGAGAGAATCATGGAAGATTGTAGTTTAAAGGCAGTAAAATCGACCTTGCTAACCGGACGCTCCTCTTTGGCCCAATCGGTTAAGGCACGTCAGGCTATGGGACGGTTCCATGTAGAATACAAGTTCGATTCCTGTCGGAGGACGAATATATTCTATGAAAATTTCTCGGACATTCAGGCTGGTAAATGTTGTTTAATACTGTTTATTATAAACAGAGCATTTACTTAAATATTTCTATCTATAAAAAGAATGTAGAAACATATATATATATATATATATATATATATATATATATATAATATTTGGTAATCCGTATGGATAATTCCAAAAAAGATATAAATCCAGAGAGCTCAATGTCAAAAATAGAGCAAATAATAATTATTATAATAGAAAGGAACACTTAAAACACCATGGGTCTTCAGACCGACTTTATGTGTGTGTAAGAGTTGGTCTGAAGTGTTGGGATCGAAACTTCGATTCTAACGAAATAAATATCAAAAAAACAAAATAAGTAAATCCCACAAACCTTATACTCCTCCTTTTTATTTTTTCGTAAAGGAGGTTGTATTATGCTTTTAAATCTAAATAAATCATTCACTGGCCAGTAATTTACAATCACCTGTTGTGATGCATTTGATATGCATCAAAATATGACTGCAATTGTGTAGCGATTTTGACATGTTTTCCATCTAGTATCTTAAAATAAATAATATTGCTCTATTTTATATTCAGCTGTCTTTTAAATTAAATGTTACGAACGTTGGAATTTTACCTATTCGTTCTCATCTTACCTGGATATATATATATATACATATATATATATATATATATATATATATATATATATATATATATATATATATATATATATATATATCCAAAAAGATTGATTTCTGCAGTTTACTGCTACCAGCAAGCAGAAATATTTCTCCTCCCGATGATGGCCATTTTGGTCGAAACTAGTGGAGGAATCTAAATGAAATAATAATAAAAAAAACGAAAGAATATTAATCTACAACCCAGTGTGTCTAAGGATTTTAATTTTTAATATCTTTTTATTGTTCAATATATATATATATATATATATATATATATATATATATATATATATATATAAGCTCTAATTTAGGCTCTACTTATGCACTGTTTTTTAAAATAAAAACAAAAATACTAAAGAACTTCGGATTATTTACCTAACGTGTTCTTTCCTATTTTTGTATATATTTGCACACACACACACACACACACACACACACACACACACACACACACACACACACACACACACACACACATATGTAAATCTGTGACATTCTGTCTGTTATAATTTTAAATATGCTTTTAAACTCTTCGTCGATTAATTATTATTTTTTTTTTTTTTTGTCGTCTGCCTTTTTTTTTTCGCAGGATGAAGCTGGGGACAATCCTTTGGGAGCTTTAGAAACAGATAACGTCACTCTCGACGTCACAGTACCAAATCCCAAGGCAAAGCTCAGGGCCAAACGAGTTGATGTCATCTCACGTATACTGTTTCCAGCCGGATTCGCCATGTTTCTCGTACCTTATTGGTCAGTCTACCTCCGTTAAATGGCGCCACCGGCAACGCTAAAAGAAGAAGAAAGCAAAGAAGACACTTACTCCAACCTGTTCATTACTTCTGATCGCCTCCTCCGTTTCGAGCAGTTAATTATTCCTACCACCACCACCACCACCATTAAACCCTACAGCACCATCATCGTTCAAATGACGGCTACATTGTCACTTTTTCTACAAGAACATTTTAACACAATCACAACCAACAACTCCACAATAGCCGATAATAATAAAAAGAAACTACAAACAAATCCTGAAATAATAACACAAAGAAAGGAATAATAAATAACATACAATTATAATATTAACAAAAAATTAGTTAATAAATATTAATACACTATAACGAACGACAATAAGAACAAATATTAATAAGTAAAAACAATAATTAATAATAATAATCATAATAAAAATATAAAGTAGTAATACCACAAACGACACTAATAATGAATAAATAACATAATATTTAAAATAAATAGAAAATAATTATTAAATAATATTAAAATTAATAAAAACAGAATACATAATAAATAAATAATAAATAATCATAATTTATAATATTAAAGATATAAAAAATAAAGATTAGTAATAAAATACAGTAATAATGATAAAATAAGCATAAATAACAACAATAAGAATAAAGTAATCTACTATTAATAAATAATAATAAATGATAAAAATAAGTAACCATAAGTGGTAATAAATAATATTAATATATATAAATAATGATAAATAAGCATAAACAATATACATTCGTAAGAGAACTAATAAAGAAAGATGATAATACTCCTACTAATAAATAATATTAAATAATAAAGGATAATAAATAAGACTAATAAATAATAATCATAATAATAAATAATGATACAATTTATAAATAATCAATAAGGATAATAATAAAAAGAAAATAATAATATTAATGTAATTAAATTATAATATTAAACAACGTGATATTAACATAAACATGATAATATTGAATAATATAAACAATAAATAAAAAAGAACAATCACAAATTATAAATAATGATCCGATTTATAAATGATATCAAATGTTATTTATTACAAAAATTAAATAATAATAAGTAATGATCATTAATAATAATGAATATTAATAAAAACAAGATAATAATAATGTTAATATATAATAACAATTAGAAATAATCATAATGATTAATAATTCTTACTATTAGATTAATTATATTTAATAATAAAAATGTCTTTATTCTAGGAATTTTGAAGTCACCTTTATCTAAAATCGAGGTTCCTCTTAGTGATTGACTGTTGGATGTTTTCGCAAAATCCGTTTATACCCTGATGACATAACAATTAATTACGCAACAACTCTAAAACTAAATCTATATTTCAAAGAACTAGACTCAAATATATATATATATATATATATATATATATATATATATATATATATATATATATATATATATATATATTTACGTATAAAAATCATAGCGCGGTCTGCTTTGTTGAGATAGTTACGTATTTCGTCAATTGTTGGTATTGGAATCTGCGCCAAATGCAAGGATTTCGAATGCTGATTCTCAAGGCACGCAAACCGATAGTCCTATCTTCCTTACCCCTTACTTTGCTTCTCGTGCCAGATTCATCTAAACTTATTTAATATATATGTCAAAGTTAAGAGATAAGCACACTATAATGTATATAAAACGACTGGAAATACAAAATTTAACAATTGTCTACCGCGTGAAAAGAACTGCTTTTTAAAATTAATGGAATGAAACAAAAAATTGCAATCGATCAAGCGTTCGTGAAATGATTTAACACTGCAAGATACAATGATGAATTTAAATCTTGGGAAAAAAATGTTGAGTGAATGAGTTTATCTAAAAAACAAATTCTCATAAGTCAATAGACGTTAAACAAAAACAGAATAAGTAAATATGCAAAATACTTATATGATTCATACCAAAGAATAAACATGATATATATATATCAGGCATAGTTTATGTTTTTATGTTTCCGTAAATGATAACTCTGTCCTATAACAAGTGTTACATTTTATGTATGATATATATATATATATATATATATATATATATAGGTAACTTCACAGAAACGCCATACCTGAGGTTTAAAATTATTTTTTAAATTTTTTTAAAAATCTTTCTCGAAGCGTTTATTTAGTTTTAATTTTAAACTAATAGATTAAAATAAACGAAATACTCTTTCTATATTTCAAACTAATTTAAATAAACCGGAAGCAGTTTTCGTTTTGAAATTGCGAACATAGCTGATTTTAGCGCCATTTTTAGCCATCTGTCATCACAATGTTGTTCTCTTTATTAAAAATCTTTAAAAAAAATAAAATATATTAAAAATCTTATAAAAATAAAATATTATTTGATGTATATTTGCTGATTTAAAGTTTAATTAATTTTAATCTGAAACAAATATTACTTTTACTTTAAAATATCACAGAAAATCATTTTTAACACAGCCGTAGCTGTTTACTTATGGTGTTGACAGCTTCATTGACAGACGGATGTTCATCTAATTTGGTTTATGGTGGATATCTATAAAAAGTACTTGAGGAATATAAGGTGAGCGCCTTTTATATATGTCTTTAACCTCCTGGTCGTCTTAAAAATTATTATCGTTAATATTCTCCGTAATCCAATGTTTTATTGAATTTTGGCATTAAATTTTCTATAGTTATCGCTCTTATTTTCTGATTATGTCGTGTATGGAGGCCTATATTTACAAAAACGGCACGTTTATACATATGCAAAAAAAAAAAAAAAAAAAAAAAAAAAGAAATCAAAATTCTTTTTAAAATATTGATGGTCGTTAAATTGTAATAAGCTTTTACATTTACGATAAGTAAATATAGTTTGTTATTTTAATAACAATATATACCTAACCGGGAAAAACTTGACAGGATTATTTAAAAATTTAAAATTTTATAAATTATTCTAATTAAAATAAAAAAATGAAAACAATTCTTGTAAAAATTCATTATCCATCGAAATGTTTATTTCTTAAGGCAACAGTATCCATAACATATCTTATTCATAAAAGCAATTAAAAGGTTTTCTAATTAAATTATGCCTTAGTTCTATTGTATTTTTTATTCGGGGCAGATTCTCGGTAACTGATGGTCCTGTTCTATAAAAAGAAATTGATAATTTAAATTCTCCAAGGAGTTCTGCTTTTAACTATTATAAATATTAACGGGTCAAAATTCAATTTCTTGAAATTTCATAAAATTAAATAAGTGGGAGTAACAGATAAAAAAATAATATTTTTACCAACATTTTCTAAAAAAAAAAGAAAGAAATTCTTTCTCAAGTAGTTTAATTCATTTGTGAATAAGTTCTGAAAGTTTAATTAAAATCCGAAATTTGATTTTTGCATGAATTTCCAAAGCAATGAGTTTTTCGTTGCAAAAAGACGCTAAAATTTCCTATACTAATTTTCCCCGGCTCTATCTGTCGCAAAAGAAAACACGGAATTTTTAACCAAAAATTTCGAACGTTCGATAAAGGTTGAAAATAATATAATTTAATAATAAAAAAAAAATTCTTTGATCTTTCCTCTTAAGAATACCATTAAGATTTTGACTTTCTTTTTATTAAGCGTGGGGCATTTTTCATCTTAGTATGCTAATTTTTAGCAGATCAATGCAGGTACATACACACACACACACACACACACACATATACATATATATATATATATATATATATATATATATATATATATATATATATATATATATATATATATATATATATATATATAAGTGCATATTTATCGAACAAAAACTGTATATATTTTTCCAAAACATTTATACATGACTGTTTTCTCGTTAAAGGAGCATGTGCCTAACCAGTGCTACATATGGTATTGCATTTAGAGTTTTCCTTCTCCAGGGCTGGTTGTCCACTATGGCTAGCAAGACCATTCTGCGTTGCTATTTAATTCGTGGCTAGAGATGGGGCGGGGTGAAGCGAGTGATTTATACCTTTCATATGAATATTTCTGCGAAAGGGAATATAACGAATTCGACTAGAACTCGAACTCGGCTCACTGTTTATCCATTTCACCACCTGCACATCCGCGATGTTGAGATGTCAGCAATGCCATGCGCGCACACGAAGCGTTACCCGGGAAAGCTCTAGAGCATAGGATAGAACATGCAAGAAAACAGGATTTTTTTTTTTTTTTTTTTTTTTTGTGTGTTTTTTAAATTCCTAGTGGTGGTATATCGAGCAATATGTAATATATCTGGCGATACACACACAAAAAACAAAAAAAACAATGGCTAATTTCACTGATGAGAATATTAATGACCATTCTGTTAAATTCCGCTGAACTTTTGTAAAATATAGGTAACTACTCAAATGCAAAGATACGTCGATTACTAAATGTCAAAATAGGAAAGAATTCTATGTCGCGTTTCGTCCTTCAAGAGTTCTTCAGAATAATGCTTTTATTGATTGAAGGAGGCGGGAAGAAACACAATATCACAGACGCTGGTCATAATTATACATTGAAAAGAACTTTGAAGGTTCTGGAGAGCTAAATTTGAAATATGACATTTCTGAGGGGTCCCATGTGTCTAGATGAAGATACAAACCGACCACACCCAACTTTTAACTCTTCTGTTTTTAGTTTTTTTTTTAATATTTTTACGGACGTTGTTTTTAAATATACCACATTGTAATAGGTGTATTTTTGTTAAGAATTGTTATATGTAGTGTAATTTACCATGGAAGACTCAGCAATTAATTTACTTTTTATGCATGTTTTTTTTTTTTGTTATAAATTACTTTCTTTTTAACTAAGGTTACATTCTTTAAGTCGCTACCTTTTCAGAATTCAACATTCTGAAAACTAACGACATTTTTACTTCTATTTATAAATATTTGTTGCGAAATAAAATCCTTACATTTGCCTTGATAAAGTCAACCAGAGGACGAAACGCGTCGGCGAAGATAAGTTTGCCTTTTTCTTTTAAT